AAAGAAGTTCTCCAACCACAAATACATGGTGAGTGCTTAGCATGTGCAAAGCACTGTTTCAAAGAAAACTGTTCATAAATAATGAGGAGCAGGAACTCAATAATCTTACACACTTGTATAACTCTCAAGTTAAATTCATGAATGTTACCTAAAAGGCCCTATCAAAAGCAAGCCAACAGCCTATGACAATCCCTCACCCAAAGGGTAACTCTGAATTGGGATGAATAAAACATGTAAACGTTATGCCTTTATGGAAAGACAATATAGGCTCTAGCTAGGAAACAGGAAGGGCAGAATTGGGAGAAACAACCCCAGAATGGAGACTGCCATTCTAGCTCAGGGAAGCTGAAGACTTGGGCAGGTCTGGTCACAGCTTAGGGACTGTTGGGTGACAGATGGGGACCTCCAAACACTCTTTCCAGTGACCTCAGAGGCAGGAAAGGGGAGTCCATCCTAGACCTGGGAGAGGGGATGGAAGCAAGCTGGACAAACAGAAGGCACAGACTATACAGCCCAAGTCGATAGCATGGATGGCATACCCTTATCAGCCAAAGTGTCTTGACCCTCCCCCATGCCCCAACATGTTATTTATGAATTACTTCCATGTAGTACATATTAAGTGTATCACAAAATCTTCACAGAGTAGAGACACTGGAACAGATTTTGAAACAGAAGGTGTAATATTTTATTCTTCACCTTGATCAGTCTTCTTGTGTACCCCACTTTGGAGACCAGTAGTACAGAACAGGTGAACTTGTGGGAGAGAGGGGAGTATGGAATTGTCACTCCCTGCATAGAACCTCAAAAGGGAAAAGCACCATCTACAAGTCTCCCCCTGCTTTTCCTCAAAAGAGAACCCTGTCACCATGTCAGTGAATAGGCAGGAATAGTGCCAGATAAGAACTCAGTGTCCCCACCACTCTCTCTCTAGCTTCCAGCCTTCTGCCTGGCCTTCAGATTGCACTTGTCTTCCAAGGTTCCCGTAGTTACACCTGATGCTACTGCCAGAAGGTTTTCCACCATTAGGAAGCGCAGACTCTACAATCTGGTAGTGACCATATCTGACCTGGAAGAGTTTGGATGATAACACTAGGACTGTTTTCAATTTTGGGGAAGGGAAGCACTTTGTCTAGACTTTGTCTAGCACTTTGTCTATTACAAGGAGAGGGTATGAACCTTACAGAGTTCTCTTTATACAGAGTCCTGGGTGCAATTAAGCACTGGGTCCATGGTGGGTTTTGTTTTGTTGGTTAATTGGTTTTGGCTAAAAATTAGACTAAGAAAAAATTATTTCCTGCAAAAACAGGTGTATTATTAACAAATGTCATAGCATTTTTTCCCCCTGTGGACTCTACAAATAGCTACTAGAGAACATCAGATTTGCTGCAGAATTTTTATATATGCATCATCTTATGATTATAGAGAGAAACACAAATAAACCTCTAAGTCAGTCTGTAAAAACATCACCAAAGCAAGCCATATGGGGAAAAAAACATTTGTCCAGTTTGCTACAGGTCCACAGTATGATTGCATTCTGCAGTCGGGACCCCTCAGTCCCAAATGTACAGAACTACGAAACTACAAAACTCCATAGAATTCCAAAAACATTGGTGGTCTTGGTTTGACAGGCTTTCAACGGGGAGAACTAGCTGGTTTCTGCCTCCAAACGCTGGCACCGCATTCCAATGTACTACTTGGTGATTCTTCTTGTCAAGAACTTGGTAGTCAGTCCTGGTTACCTTAGAGATGCCTTATCTCCCAGTGAGCCTTCAGGGAATGGCGGCCAGGCTGCTGCTTCTATCGCTTTAGCCAAGCCCATGGGGTGCGGGTGTGGTTCTGACAAGAGGCAGTTAGCTTACTAGAGTTAAACCACAAAACCTAGCCTGTGTAGGGTTTGGGGAACACATTTTTTTATCCCCCCAAAAAACTTAAGAAAAGTTAGTTCTATAGATTGGTAGTAATTATGGAAAAGTCATAATGCTGGGTTTGGTTTTTGTTTTTTTTAATAAGCTAGATCAGTTTTGCTGTCCTTAGATCCTATTTACTTGGCTTTGTCAAGGTACAGCAAAGACGGCTGTTGGGTTGGCACCCAAGAGCTTTCACGACACCAGTCCATGGCTTCAGTTGATCTTGTGCCTCATGTGCAGTGGGAGATGGAAGAGAAAAGAGAAAAGCAGAAATCACAGACTTTCTGCAAGTTAGGTTTCAGATTTTTTGACTTTGTAAAACACTGTTTCAAAGAACATTGTATTTTATTATACAGTCTCACCACTTTCAGTCACAGAGATAAATATTTTATCTAACTAGAGTTTTTACACATTCATTTACAGTCAATTCCATTATTTCACTCCATGTTAACTATTATATTTTCCCTAATTAAGAGAGCTGATTATGCAACTAAAAGATTGGTAAATATGGAAGTTATTATTGGATCAACATTTTCTACAGGCTACAGCTTAGATTATGGAATACAAAGAGAACATGAAATTTTTTTTCCTACTCTGCCCTAGATTCAAGATATTCATTCCCAAGATTGATTTATAAATGTCTAAATCTTAATCCCTTTTACAAATTAGCATGGGCCTTTAGCCCAGATGTTAAAGGAAATTTGCTTTAAATTGCTTTAAAACAGTAAGACGATCGTGGGAAAACAGAAAATACTAAAACAAAGCACTAGTTGAGTAACTACAGCAAAATCTCATCTATTTAAAATTCATTCATCAGGAATTGGTGATAGCTGAGAAAGGCACAAGACGAAAGTGTACCTTTGGCCTAATTGTGTAAGAGTTTACTAAGTCAGTTACTAGTGGAAAACAGAGAGAAGGCTGAAACCTCTATTGAGAACGTTTCTAATACCCTTAAGTAATTTTAGACATTTATTTTTTTTTTTAAGATTTTATTTATTTGACAGAGACACAGCAAGAGAGCGGGGTAGTGGGAGAAGGAGAAGCAGGCTTCCCACTCAGCAGGGAGCCCAATGCCAGGCTCCATCCCAGGACCCTGGGATCACGACCTGAGCCAAAGGCAGACGCCCAACGACTGAGCCACCCAGGCGCCCCAATTTTAGACATAAAACATTGAATTATTTCTCAGTTATAAATAATCCTTATCAATAATTTAAGTCCTTCTTGAGCCACTACTAACTAAATCTTCCTTGACCTATTTGTGGGATTTGCTGTAGTGATGAAGATAGCCTTTCATTTATAAAATGAAAATGAAAGCGTTTCCCTAAATCAGATGCCCTTCCCTACTAGTTTCATGTGCGCAAAGCAGGCCAGATGTTCTGGTTTAAGTACATGAGATCTAGAAGCAGCTTGCCTGGGTTCAAATCTCCCTTCTACCAATTGGGCATGTTATTTACGGTCGTGGTGGCTCCATTTCCCAGTCTGTAAAATGGAAAAAATAGTAATACCTAAAAGATTTTAAAACTGTAAAGCACTTAGAATAGCGCGTGGTCCCTTTAAAATTAGCTCTTGTTGCCATTAACACTGTACTGCAGGTCAGTGAGGCAAGTTAGACTCAGTCACACCCCCAGGGCATCGCTAAGAGAAACTTTATGAAATGGTACATTTTAGAGCAAGACAGGTTTTTAAGCTCCCCTCGCACAAAGCTCAAGGGCAGATTTGCTTTCACACCGCAGTGCATCACAACCATTTTTCGATTCTTAAGCCTTCCTTTCTTCTGGCCTCCATCCGCCCACCCTAGCCTGCCAGGTACTTCTGGTTAATTATGCATAAGCCTTTTCCAAGCCACCACCTCCCAGTCTCTACGACTTCGTTCTCCTTTTATTTCGTGCTAGACCGCACCTCCTCCCTGAAGTCCTCCCTCATCAACGCACTCCACTATGATCAGCCCTTGACTCGGGCACAGCTCTGGTTGGGAACCCTTCTCAATAAATTCCTGAGATGGTTAGAGGCTTTTTGAATCGCCCGGTCTTCATCCGAAATTTTTCATTAAAACGTGCAGTTTCAACAGTCCCGCCCTGAGTTGTTGGACTTTCGCTCCAAACCAGACTCCTAGCTAAAGACACAGGAACACGAAGATGGGTGGGCTACGAGCCTCGAAGGCTGGAGAGCGCGACCGGAGTCCCGTTTAGGAACGGTTCGTTTGGACAAGACCGGGACGAAGGACAGCGGAGGTTAGTGACGCACCTGAATAAGTCCGCTAGACGAAAGGAGACAAACGAAGGCTTTAATCGTGCAGGCTGAGAGCCGCGTGCGCGCACGCGCGCAGGCGCGCGCACACACAACACATGCACGGGAAGCGAGGAGCCTTCTCAGGTATCTGACAATGACACGACTCTGACCCGGACAGGGTCTCAAAGGCCCCCGATTTCCGGAGAACCCCTGCCCCCGCCACCTCCGAAGATTACCGTTAGCGCATCTGTCCGCCAGAGCCCAGGCTCCGGCGCGCCAGGCACCCTCCCCCCGAAGCCCCGCGGCCACAGCTCCCCGCCCCCCGCGAACGCGGCTGCCCTGTGTCCTCTGGAACGCCTGAGTGACTGTCGGGTTTCGAACCCGGGCGTCGACCCTGGCCCTCGGCGCGCGCAGCCGAGTCGCTGGCGCAGCCTTTGGCCCCCACATCAATCATTTACGGGCCAGCTAGGGCTACTGCGGCCCGAGGAGGGGGGATGGTACGGAACTCGAGACCGGGGACAACTCTATCCCCCAAGGCGGCCGCGAAACACTAGCGGGGGAGGCCCCCCGCCCTCCCTCGGTGCGCCCGTCCCTCCCTCCTTCCAGCGCCTAGGCTCCCGCATCCCCGCCTCCCGCTCCGGGGGCGGCGGCGGCTGCGCCCGCACCGCGCGATGCCCAGTCACCGCAGCAGCGCCGCTGCCGCCGCCGCTGTCGCCGCCGCAGCGCGGGCGGCCGCGAGCCCGTGGCAGGGAGCCTGGCGCAGGGGCCGCCGAGCCCGCGCGCTCCTACCAGTCGCTGCGCTGCTCAAAACCTGATTGTTATTTTTATTTTTATTTTTTTTTCAGGAACGGTTGCTCCGAATCAGGTCTTCTCTTGAATCTGCAGCGACGCCCCCGGCGCGTGCACAAAGGCTCCGACGGCGGCCGGCGGGGACTGCCTAGCGCGCGGGAGCCGGCGCCAGAGGTCGCCTGTGCGCGCCCTAGCCAAGCCCCAGGCACCATGCCGCGGCGCCTGCAGCCGCGGGGCGCGGGCACAAAGGGCCCGCCGGCCACGACCGCTGCGGCTTCGGAGGCCGCCTCAAGTTCCCACCCCTCCGCCTCCGGGGACCCTCCAGCATCGGCCAAGCCGCTGCTGCGCTGGGACGAGGTGCCCGACGACTTCGTGGAGTGCTTCATCCTGTCGGGCTACCGGCGGCTGCCATGTACGGCGCAGGAGTGCCTAGCCTCGGTGCTGAAGCCTACCAACGAGACGCTCAACTTCTGGACGCACTTCATCCCGCTGCTGCTATTCCTGAGCAAGTTCTGCCGCCTGTTCTTCCTGAGCGGCCAGGACGTGCCCTTCCATCACCCGTGGCTGTTGCCGCTGTGGTGCTACGCGTCGGGCGTGCTGCTGACCTTCGCCATGAGCTGCACGGCGCACGTGTTCAGCTGCCTGTCGCTGCGCCTGCGCGCTGTCTTCTTCTACCTGGACTACGCGTCCATCAGCTACTACGGCTTCGGCAGCACAGTGGCCTATTACTACTACCTGCTGCCGGGCCTGAGCTTGTTGGACGCCAGAGTGATGACACCGTATGTGCAGCAGCGCCTGGGCTGGCACGTGGACTGCACGCGCCTCATCGCCGCCTACCGCGCGCTCGTGCTGCCGGTGGCCTTCGTGCTGGCCGTGGCCTGCACGGTGGCCTGCTGCAAGAGCCGCACAGACTGGTGCTCTTACCCATTCGCGCTTCGCACTTTTGTGTTCGTCATGCCCCTCAGCATGGCCTGCCCCATCATGCTCGAGAGCTGGCTCTTTGACCTGCGCGGCGAGAACCCCACGCTCTTTGTGCACTTCTATCGTCGCTACTTTTGGCTGGTGGTGGCCGCCTTCTTCAATGTGAGCAAGATCCCCGAGCGCATCCATCCAGGCCTCTTCGACATTATTGGCCACAGCCACCAGCTCTTCCACATATTCACTTTCCTTAGCATCTATGACCAGGTGTACTACGTGGAGGAGGGCCTGCGCCAATTCCTCAAGGCGCCGCCTGCGGCGCCCACCTTCTCTGGCACGGTGGGCTACATGCTGCTGCTGGTGATCTGTCTGGGGCTGGTCATCAAGAAGTTCCTAAACAAAACCGAATTCTGCAGTAAAAAATGAACCTCCGCCTTGGAGGAGGCTGCTGGTTCGCCCACCTATTTGTTTGGAGTTTCTGTTGTTGCTATTGTTGGTTTGTTTTCAAGTTTTGTTGTGTTTCCTTCTTTGCTCAAGGAAGGTGCTGCAAAACCACAGGGAAAAAGTCGAATGCAACAAGGGGGTCTCAGTGCACTTGGGGGCTTTGGAAGAGGGAGATATGGTTCAAGCAAGAGGGAGAGTGCCACTGGTTCTTGCCCCTGGAAAAAAATTCGGGTGGTGTCTCTGACATCCAGGAGTTTTTCCAAGGGAGTGAGTAAAATCCCAAATAAAACCCCGAACAGTTTGGTTTTCCAGTCATCTTCTGCGCCAGGGGTAATGAGGAGTAGTCCTGGTGAGGTCAGGTATGCAGTAAAGAGGGTAAGTAGACAAAATCCCCGAGTACTTCCATTTCGGTCTGAGGAATGCTTGGATTTGTAAAAAGAATGGAGCTTTGTAGGAAATGGGCACAAAGACACAAACCCAGGGCTTAACCTGCTAGAAAATGCATGGAATGTGAACACAAATTAATTATTTCAAAATATTTCTTAGATGTTATTTAAATAGTAATATATACAATGATTTTTCACAATTTATCAAAGCCTGTGATATGCACTGAATTTTCTTTGTTACATAGTTTTGAATTTTGCAGCCCTTCTGCATTGCATACACTTGAACTGGACATCAGGGCAAGCTGCTTGAGAATTCTCAACTACTTTTTTAAACAGTGTTTTCTGAAGGCTGATGTGTGTTATGATACAACTGTGAATTATTCTACCTTAGGGACTCTGGTTAAACTATTGTTGAGGAGCTCAGTGGTTTATATACATCCCAGGTTCCAATTTACTTTATTCCACAAAACCCATCCGATTTTTTATTTTGTTTTTAATTTTATTCTTTCTTTCTCTACTTATTTAAATTGCCACTGGAATAAGTGTGCCTTTTGAAGCAATACCCAAATGACTGGTCCTCAGACATAGTTTCATGCATGGAGAGAGCAGTAAGAATAAGCTTTTCTTCTTTACTGTAAATCAGGGTCTAACATTCCACCCAGGAGGGAAGGAAGATGGTGTTGGTTTTAAAATTTTGGTAGGACTGAAAGTAGCTTACCAGGAGAAAGGGAGCCAACCCACTAATGTGGCTGTGGTTCTTAATGCAGCCATCAGGGAAGGTGAGAGGACACTATTCTAGACCAATGCCATTTATCCTTGCTTAAAATTAAAAACATAATATTCAAGAATAACTGAGGCGGTTATATTAGGAAAGTCAGGAGCATCTTACTTGAGTTGTAACTGAAGATATTGAGTTAAATAACATTACTTTTGCATAGTTAAACACTGGTCTCATTTGGATCCATACTATGGAAATGAATGGCAGTCACCCTAAATCACAGAAAAATTAGTGAACATGTTCCTGAGATCCTTTCTGACAACCACATTGGCCAATGTTATTTAAGACATTTCTCATAAGTGATAACCTGTACTTGAGATAACAACTCTAGATTAACACAAACCACTGAGGTGGCTTATTTAATTTAACTTACCACACTTCCTGACAAGTCCTTTTGGTTAAGAGCCAAATAAGTCATTGAGTGGGGAGTCTTGACTTCATAGTATAATTTAGATCAAGCACATAAGGTAGATGAACACTTACCTCAGCACTGGTAGGCTGGAACTCCTAAGAAGATTGCTGTTTTTGTTTATGCTTTTAATCTCTACTGTATTTGTAAACAGAGAGGCTTGGCACAATTCCCTGGAGGAATCAGTATCTTTGTGCGTTAATTTGCACACAGAAGTTAACTTTTTATATGTCTATATTTAATTTGAAACCTCTTAATGGGATCGTAGATACACTTTGCACATTTGCTGATGGGTGCCAGTATCTAATCTTTTGCAAAGTGCAAGGAGATTCCCATTAGATGATAGAGGCTGAGAATTTGTGCCTAGCACAGATGTTATTCCTCAGCTGTAACTTAACTCAGTGCATGTATTCAAGAACAATTGTGGAAATCAGGATATTTCCATGTGCAAACTTATTTGCATGTCATTGTTGTCTCTTCTAGAGCCCTAAAGAATGTTGGTTTGGAAGCTAGAGAAATAGGTTGAGGAGTGTTTGGTAGCTTCCTTGTAAAATGGGACCTCCCCTTTCAGAAGGAACTTTCAAGGGACAGAATTCTAAAAAGGGTCCATGAGTTTGAGAACAAGAAATAAACCCTGTATTTGTCATTTTAAATTTTTGTTGGAGATCTTCTGGGTCTACAAACAGAATTCTCTTCTCACCCTGTGTCTTTGTCCTTAAGCAGAGGCCACTTAAGGATAAAATTATACCCATATCATTTTCAAGTGATTACGATGCATGAGCCCAGGAAGGTGACACACTTTTCCCCTCAAAGTTTTCAGACCCACTATGCCCCAGAGAGAATGAGGACTCACTTCCCTTCCCTTTGTTGTTTCCTTCCTATACTTTCCTTTCTCCCATTCCATCTTGGTGTTTATATACCACATATAACATTGACAAAAGGACATTTTAGTTGAAAACGGTGGTTTGGCTTCACTTCCTATTTGCAAGTAGATGTGCTCATATATGCTATGTAGGACCAGGGATGATTTGTGAAACTATGTATGTTATTTGCTAAATTATATCAGATTTCTGCCCAGATAAATGGTGATATTTTAGATTCAGCATATATTTACTGAGTCTCCATTTGCATGGAACTAGCCAAGTATATTATTACCTGAATATTTCAGGGGTAATACGGCAACCAGAATGAAATATCTTTAAAAATATTTTTCACATTCTCCACTTTGCCACATCCATTAGGATTCAGTTTTACTTTATTGTGTTCACCTGCCTGAAATGTAGGACAAATGATAAATAAGAATGTACTCCATTATCTCTGTAAAACCTATTTTGGCAGTGGAATTTTGAAGCATATTATGTAATGCATTTTATTTTTACTTGTTAGTCATGATCTAGATGACATCTCAAGAAGCAGCGTCAGAGAGTCCTGCTTGGGAAATGAAGGTGTTTGACTTTGGAGCCTGTCACCCTGGGGGTTGCTCTGTGGGGTTGACTCAGCTGAGTTAGTTGGTTAAAGGGGGTTCCTTTCTTCCCTGTGCTTGGCAGCTACACCCTCAGGTGAAAGGGATGACCTTCCCAGACAGAAGTGAGTTTTTTGATCATGTCATGACTGGCTTGTAAAAATAAGCCTGATCTTTTCCGCTGGCCATACACTTTCTATAAATAGCCCAGGAAGAAAGTATGGGGCTTCAGAGCTAACCAGAGTGGCCTTCACATGTTTCCATTCATAAATCCTGCCCGTAAGTGCTTGCAGTTAAAAACCATTTAGCCTAATTCATTATGCCACTCCAGGGTAATCATTTCTAAGAATGCAAAATTGGGGGGATGGAGGTGATTTTTATAATTTTTTTCGGATTTGGTGCTGAATCTGAGGGCTCACAGCAATAATAAACAGGGATTGTTACCTGCAAATCTCTTCACAACTCTACGTGGTTAATCTGCACAAAGCAAGAGTAAGAGACAGGTACAGTAGGAACTATCTCCATTTCTAGGTTATACCAAGGTGACAGAATCAAGTTTTCAAACTGGCATTAGAAGTAGGGATGGTTGTGTGCTCACTTGTGAGTGTTCGCTAGTTTGCACGGCTCTGATGCCTAGTCAAGCACACAGACACCAACTGGAGATGTGTGTCTCCATAATTATATATCTATGACTAATAATATCTAATATCTATTTTATATAGAGAGCTATATAATTTATCATTGTAAAACAGCGAAGTGAGATGTAGTTATCTTGAATTTACATTATAGAATCTTAAAAAAAGTGTACTTAGTTTTTATCATCTTGGATTGTTGTTCATCTGTTGAAGTCTTCCACTGCTGACTTCACTCTGTCAGTATCCTTTGAGTTGATTTCCACATTTGTCCATGTCATCCTTTCAGTGATCATTGAGCACCTACTGTATATAAGACATCGGGCAAGGATCCATCCATATTATTACAGCTGTTACCCCTTTGTCTGCTGGTGGAACAGAGATGGGAACACCAGAAAGCCCTCTGGCCAGGAACCAAATTCTGACCTTGGCCATAGCAGAATGTCTTAAGCCACTGAATTTGGTTCTCTTCTCCTTTCGGTTAGCATAGGAGCAATGCATGGAATCTTATTTCAGTTAACATGCTAACTTATCCAGAATCAATTTCTTCTTTCCTTCCTTCCTTCCCTCCTTCCTTCCTTCCCTCCTTCCTTCCTTCCCTCCTTCCTTTCTCTCTCTTTCTCCTTTCCTTCCTTCCTCCTTCCTCCCTCCCTCCCTCCTTCCCTCCCTTCTTTCCTTCCTTCCTTCCTTTTTCTGTCTGCTCCTAGGCCTATGTGAATTTTGTGGCTAAAAATAACTAAAAAATTTAATATAGGATGCAGGTGAAGGGATAACAGGCATATGTACATGGAGAGAGTTGAACATTTTTATCATCACTACTAATTAATAGAAACGCTACTAACAACCACTTTTTGGGAGGTTAATAGTATTTATGTCATTATAAAGCAAGTTTCATCCAAAGTGCCTAGACTGTGATGTCATTAAATGTCTGAATTTCATAGATAGCATACTTATGTTTTTAAAAATAGGAGCTTCAATCTGCAAAGGTGAACTCTTTTTAGTTCTTTAGCCTTTTTCTTCTTTTAAGGTCTTTTTGTTGTAATCTATAAAACATGTCTTAGAAAAAATAACTCTGGAGGAAATTACAAAAAAAAATTATCAGATGTGAAAAAGACAGGAAGAAGGCATGAGCAGGGGAGAACAAGGAGGATTAGATTCAAACAGTTAGAATGGGACAGCAAGTTCAACTGTGGACAATTTCTCCTGAGTTTTAAATTCTGTCCCTAGAAAAGCATGTGAACTCCCATGGTGTTAGCACTCAAATGCACAGGCAAGGAATTCTCTTTGGCAGCCTAACCACATCCTGTAGTTTTTGACCTGAGCACCAGTGCCAAGGTATAGTTTGAGTAGTACTCTTACCCTTGGCTTAAT